CATGCTAATTCTATCTGTTGTTTAAAAAAATATCCAGTTTCTGTTGAGTATGTGCTCTGAAATTCTGGGTATCAAATATTCTGTTCTGGAATTGTTCTTTGGGTAGAAAACATTACAGTTAGGCATTTAGTCTGAAGCAGACAAAATGAAAAGGTGCTTTGAAAGCTCAAATTCTTACATTTCACAGAATTGTGTTTTCTAATTTTTCTAGGACGATTTAGATGAAGTTGGTAAGACAGAGGCTTACATTATTGACTGTCTAATAAGTATGGTTATGAAACTTTCCGAGGCTTCTTTTAGACCCCTCTTCTTCAAGGTAAGAAGTTTAAATGCAATTCATCTGCATCAGCATATTTGTATTTTCCAGCATACCGGCATAGGAGAGAGCTAACCTGCCTTTCACTTTCAGCTCTTCGACTGGTCCAAAACAGAGTCTACCCTGAAGGACAGACTGCTGACATTCCACCGAATAGCAGATTGCATCGCAGACAAGCTCAAGGGTCTCTTCACCCTCTTTGCTGGTCATTTAGTGAAGCCATTTGCTGAAACCCTGAACCAGGTCAACATTTCTAAAACTGGTAAGTTTTCAGTTACTACCTATAGAGAGGCATTGACAGGCTAACTCTAACTGCTGAAAGAAGTTAATTGTAATTGCTGAAAGTTTAGCCTGATGTGATTTATTTCACAGCACATACATCTCATTTCTCCTCTTCTTTCTGTCATAAATAAGGCATCTTTCTTATTCTGATGGAACCAAAGGACATTTTTCATCCATGGACTCTGGGCTGCCAGCACAAAGCTGAGACCACATGAAAATTGTGTCAGTCCCAGTGAGTTCCATGAGAATGAAATTGTGTGGAAAGGGAGTGACTTGTTTCTGTTTAGGATTTGGAGCTTTTTGTTTTATTTTGTTCTTCATTCATTGACTTCTATCTTATGCTACGTGGTGCATTCAGACTCCTCTGCTTTCTTGGCAAAAACAGTTATTAATTTTTAATAGTTTTTAATTTTTATTAATTTATTATTTGCCCCTCACATTTGTAGTGACCTGAATAAGTTCTCCATATCCACAAGTATGGCCAAGCACTTTTCCTATAGTTTGTGGCTGTTCTCTTTTATCCCCAGCTGATTGTGAATGGCAGTGGCAGAGCTGCTAGGGCATTAGCTATAAGCCAGCTAACATGTTGCATCCACTTTATTGTTCTGAGTGATGAGTACATAATTGCTATCTGTACGTCCTTTAGCCATATTTGCAATGTTTCTATCTTGTGGGGAAGTTTTGTATTTTCTCTCTTTTTTTATTATGTTTTTTTTCTTTACCTTGATTGGTTTATAGATGAAGCTTTCTTTGACTCTGAGAATAGCACAGAAAAGAGCTGTCTACTCTTGCAGTTCACCATGGACTGTCTGCACAAACTCTTCCTCTTTGACACCCAGAAGTTCCTGAGTAAGGAAAGAGCAGAAACGTTGATGATGCCTCTGGTAGATCAGGTACTGACAAACACGAAAAAACTATTTATAGCTGAGTTTTTTTCCCCCTCATTTATTTTTTTAACTATCAGGCCTCAGTCTCTCCCTTAAAAAAAAAGGTAGGAATCAAGTAAATGTCTTGGGGCTACAGACAGTATTAACTGCTTTGCCTAATGCTCTGAATTACTATTTTCTTTTCTGGAAGTCTTTATTCCATAAGGTAAATGCATGCTGTTGAGCTCTTGCAGACCAGTGCATTCCCACTGACTGGTTACGCTGATGTAACTCGAGTACCTGAAAGCTAAAGCTAGAAGTGCTTCTGGCTAGGTTTGTCTGAGTCTGGATCTGTCTGACAAGCTTTTCACTTCCACAGCTAGAAAATATGCTTGGAGGAGATGAGAAGTTCCAGGAAAG